CGTGTAATTTTTTGGCATTCCTTAGAGATCGTAGTTTCCTGTTTGGCTTAGACTTTAGTTTCATCCTAAATATTTCTTATATTACCCTCCTGTATCAGTTTCCCTGCATTAAGTTCATTTATGGGTCTCTGTTTACCCATTTAGTTATCACTTCTAACTTCCTGTTTTGTTTTGGTAGTTATTTGTCTCTACTGTCTTGCATTTATTTTGACCTTCCCTCCTTTCTCGTTGTCTTTGTGTGTTGTTAGCTGCGTTCATTCCTCCCAGTTGCCCTCTTGTGTATAAATACAAATAAATAGTGTGTAATTCTTATCCTATCTCACGTTCTTCCACCCACTTGTGTTGTATGTTAGATTCTGTTTGTCTTGCTCTGGTTGTAAATGACAAATTCTTATATAGTCCTTTTATACTCTCCCGGAGGACTCAAAGCGCTTTATACAGTGGCTTGCAAAAGTATACGGCCCCCTTGAACTTTTCCACATTTTGTCACATTACAGCCACACACATGAATCAATTTTATTGATTCATGTTCTCACGTGTACACCACTTTGTGTTGGTCTTTCATGTGGAATTCCAATAAAGTTGATTCATGTTTGTGGCTGTAATGTGACAAAATGTGGGAAAGTTCAAGGGGGCCGAATAGTTTTGCAAGCCACTGTACATCATCCCTCTTTTACCCATTCACATCCATTTTCTTTTATGCGTAGGTCTTTTCTATCTACCAATCACACGCATTCATACTCTGGTGGATGCATCAGCGAGCAACTTGGGGTCAGTATCTTGCCCAAGGATATTTGGCATGCAGACTGGAGCAGCCAGGGATCGAACCACCAACCTTCTGTTCAGTAGATCACATTAGATTTTGTTATTTACATTGTACAGCATGGCTGGGCAGAACGTTTGGGGAATGGTTAGCACTGCTGCTTCAGAGCAAGAAGATCCTGAGTTTAAATCCACCATATGTCTGTGTGGGCTCTCTGTGGGTACTCTGGCTTCTTCCCACAGTCCAAAGGCATGCAGTTATTGGGGTTAAGTTAATTGGTTATTGCCCCTATATATGAATGATTGTCTGTCTCTATCTGTTAGCCCAGTGATAGGCTGGTGACCTGTCCGAGCCTTCCCTTAACCTATGGTAGCTGGGATAGGTGCCAGCTCCCCTCCAGACACTGAATAGGAAGGAATGACTGGATGGACACTGTGGACTTTAATCTTTCCTTTTGCTGAAATAAAGGTTAGGTTTCTGTTTTCTGAGAGGCATCTCTGTACTTCACAATTCATCATAGCATGTCCTTCTAGAGAAATACTTTTTGTTTGTGGAGTACTGTATACTGTCAAAGTAAATAATTTTCTTCTTGAAACCTTTTCTGTTCACCTTTTTAAAGTACATTTTAACACAGTTAAATACAATTAAGACAGCATTTTTCTAGTTTTACCTCCAAGCAGTTGATGTATAAAGCATAGAGCTCTGCTCTGTCCCCATCATCCACAAATCTGCTTTCTTCAACAGATGAAAAATGTTGTTGCAAATATTTCTGAACCTCATCAAAGCTGAAACAGAGTTAGGTCAATCATATAGTGTAAGGTAAAGAAATTTAAATCTATTTACAGATTTTATCACAAGTTTTATTAAAGTAGCAATGCTCGTCAACTGATATAAAAGATACACTTTAAATCAGTGAGATACCTGTCTTGTTAGTCTCAATCATCTTTGATGATTGACATATTTATAGTAGGTTACCTACCTGAACTTCAGTAGCAGTTTGAGGATTACTGATCGCACAACCGGGTTTTTATCTGCGGACTCTTCAAATGGTGATAAAACTTTGGTGTGAACCTGTTTATGTTCTGTTTGGAAAAAATAATTTAAAGTAAACATGTAAA